TTCTAATAGACACAAACCAGAAGGATGGATTTTTAAAAACACTATGTGGGGCAAAGGAAGGCAGACACAAATGAGTACATACTGCTCTTTGATTCCATTTATAGGAATTCCAGACCAGGCAAAACTAACCTGTTAGGAGAAAAATCAGAACAGCGGTTGCATCTGGCAGGCAGTGGAGATGGGGTCACAGTTGGTAGGAAAGGAAGTAACTGGAAAGAGGAATGAGAATACTTTTGGGGGCAATGGAAATGTTTCATATCTTGTTTAAGGAGGTGGTTTCACAGGTGTATACAATTATTGAACTCATCAAACTGAACACTTAAGATATATGCACAGTATTGTAAGTTATATTGTAATAAACAGTTTTTAAGTGTGGGACTCACTCATTTCCAGGGGCAGGGGAAATTTATCCACGCTAAATAAATTTTGAATGGGCAGTGGGAAACAAAATAAAGTTTGTTTTGATCACATCCTTCGATTGTGCTTGTTGAAGATATCAGTTCAATGCACTACTTATTTTGTCCAAGAAAGGCGGAAAGAAAGGAAGAAAGAAAATGTCTGGACCTCACCACCAACTTTTCCTGTTTAATGCACCTACTTCCCTCCCCTTCGACTCCATTGTTCTATCCATTGAGCCTTGGTGCCTGATGAACTCCTGGATAGCCCAGAGGTGGTTGGGTGAGTGGAGATGAATGTCCGAAGAAAGCAGAGAAGGACACAAGACAGTATGTAACTGAGGACTGATTTGCACGGTACCTGTAGTTCTAAGCACCAAAACTAATTTAGAGGACAGCTCTTCTGAGGGTAATTAGAAGAAAGGTTTCACTGAGGCAACAGGATGAGTGTACTTTAATGAACTGGGAGAATGTTGATCAGTGGAGACACGGAAGAGGGCAGTTCCATAAGGGGGTATCATAACCAAAGGCACAGAATCAGAAAAGCACCAAGCATATTGGTGTTGAGTGTCTTCTCTTTGCCACCAACTTTACATCTATTTTCTTAAATTCAGTACATCTCCCCATTTTACAGATAAGAAATTAAATGCAGAGAATGGTCAGAGAACATGCTCAAGGTCTCCCAGCTAGCGATGCAGAGCTGGACTTTGTATCCAGGTCCATAGCCCATGCGCTTGCAAATTATACCATAATGCCATTGCCCCAGGTTCCTGCAGATGAGAGTGCAACGGGGGCCTTAAGTAAGGCCTTTTTAGCAAAAGGCTGGATATCAATTAATTTATTGATTTGTTAAAGCAAAGAGATTATTTATAAAAACTGAGGTGATGTAGAATGAAAAATTGGGGGACCGAAACAAAGAAGACTTTGAGTAACACACTAAGCAGTATCAATTTTTATTACAAGTAAATGGAGGTCATTAAAGATCCTAGAGTAAAACCATGTGACTATGAAAGAAATATTTTAAGAACATTGTTCTGGGCATGATGAACAGGGTGAAGTAGGCTGGAACCGAGAGCAAGAATAGAGGGTAAGAGAATATTAGGATACTGCATTAGTTCCAACAAGGTCTATTTAAGTGTCTAAATTAAGGGAACAGTAGTGAGAATGGAATTTTTAAAAATATTCAGGAGACATTATTAAATAAATATGCTTAAGACTTTAGTGTCTAGTAGAATGAAAGATTGAGCAAGGTGAGCTAAGAAAAGAGAAGAGGGTTCTAGGGGGCGAAGCCTTGGTTCTAGAAAAATGGTGGTTCTGTTATAGAATTCAGGATGGACAGCTGGAAGGAGGGGTGGGCAGTCAGCTAATCAGCACAATATATTTGAGGTTTGAGATCTAGTGGGATATGAAGATATTATGAGATCTGTACCACAATAATAGAACAGCAATGGATTGAGACCAGACAACCAAAAATTTTGAGCAATAGAGCAGCTGGTTAAGTGCTTGAACTCTGGAGTCAGACAGAACAGGCCAGGATTTGACACCTACCAGGTATCTGAGTCTCAGGTTCTTCCTCTATAAAATGAAATAATTAATGCACCTGGTTCATAGCGTTGATGGGAGGATTAAAATACACAGTAAGTACTCAATAATTGTCAGCTCTGATTATGGAAGCATGTGCACATTTTGGGAGAAGGACAAGAAAGGGAGGGGCCTGGGAGACCCAGATGAGGAATAGTTGGAGAAATGTGGAAAAGACTTAGAAAAGTGCCACATGGCATTTGCCTATGGCGTCTTTAAGAGAAATTGATAAAGATGGGGCCAGAATGAGCCTGACATTGGCACTAAGGAGATTAAAGGAGGTAAAGCCAGATTTCAGGGAATTAAAGGCACATGGACAATGTCACAATAGAGACAATAGATATATGAGGCGGGCAGTAAAAGGAAAGAGAGATCTAGAAAAGTTAGTATTAAAAGATCAAACTCAAATGAAGATTTAGTTTCAATATCAAGAAGCCTGGACTATGCTTGGGCAGAGGTACATCAAGAAAAGGTCCACTGAACAAAGAGATGTAAAATATACTTAGGAGAAAATGATAAATAAGGGGCAAAACCCCAGAAAGAGGCAGAGATCAGTGAAGTCAGGGGCAAACGTGGATGAATTAGAGTGAGAAATAAAGAGGGAAATCTCTTATCCAGAGAGGATGAAGAAGAGACAGAGAGAGAATGAGGTACAAGAAGGAAAAATGATTTTGGTGTTTCGAAGCTATGTGGATGGCAGAGAAAGATTTGGCTCCAGTCCTTTAGAAGATCATTAATATTGTCCAATGAGAAGCAGAACCAGCCACCTCAAGCCACAAGATGATCATGTCTCTCGTCCCCACTCGTCCCCAAATTGAATACACATACATGGCCTTACTGACAAAGGAAGAATATTTTTGTTCCATACAAATGGATAGAATCCAAAAAGGCTTTTCTGGGAGCTTCTCTCAGTTGCCACCTCCCTAAACTACTGGTCCAGATGCCCAATAATAAGGAATCTCCAAGTATTTACAAATACTAACATAGAAGTTGAAAAGTTTGGATTGAAGATTTGGTGAGGGGTGTGCCCTTCGCCAAGCGCCCCATGGATCAATGAATTCTGCGGAAATTTTATTAATAAATGCCTCAATTCTCTGATGTGTGTGGTTTTGAAGACTTAGTCTCACAGGGGCCTAATTCAACATTTGGCAATCCTTTAGGGTATGTGGTACTTGGCATTTTCATTGCTTCATTATTTAAAGGGCAATTCATTATGTGCAATGGAAACAAATAAAACTCTATTTCTGACATTTCTAAATCTGAACCCTGAACTCTCAATAAACCTTCCAGTTTCAAAATAATTATTTAAGCAAAGCCCTGGTGTATTCACTTTAAACCATTGAGTAGTGTTCCTAATGGTTGGTGATGCAATCTCCAATGCTGAGACTTGAGTATTGGAACTTCCCCGAAGAATATAAAATAGTCCCCTACGCTGCAACCCATTACAGGCAATCTTGTCCTCACAGGCCTCAATCAAATTTGCACAGCAATTAGTCCTGCACGGGGTTTGATACATTTCTTAATTATAAAACAACTTTGTACTCTATTGGCCCTTTCAGATGGGTTAAGAGAACGTTAATTACCTCCTCCTGAGACATCAGGTTTTTTTTTTTTTAATCCCCATTTTAGGGATGAATAAAGCAAGATGTAGAGAGGAATGAACATCTATTGAGCACCTACTATGTGTTCAGCTCTGTTTCTGGTGATTTACGCACCTGTAAATAAGCCTATGGGTAAATGATTAGTCCTGTTTTGCAGAGAAGGAAAACACGTTTAGAGGAGTTAGATTACCTGACAGCGGTCGCCTTGGTGACACATAGGTCTGCCTGAAAATGGAGTCGTGTACGTGGTGCCTCTTTTAAGTTGATGACTCCCTCCCCTGACTTTCTACAATTATTATTCATCATGCATTTTTTTCTGAGCACCTTGTGTATGCCAGACAGTGCCCTGAAGAATAAAACGACTGGGTCCCTGTTCCCGGACAAGGCATGAGACCTATGACCCCTCTCTGGAGCTTCCCTAATGGGAGCCAGCGGAGAGCTGTGGGAGCACTGAGCAGGGAGCACCGCGCTCAGCCCCAGCCCGCGTGGGTGCGGCCCTGAGCGCTCACACCACCTAAGGCGCGTGTCTCCTCGGGATCCCGGGGAAATCGCCCTGCCTCCGTTTCACTCTGGTCTTCGGCATGACCCAGGGAAGGAAGTTACAACCTGCCGGGAACCAGCCCCGCCAGAAAAAGAACCCAGGCATTGCCGGGCACTGGCTGGGGCGGCGGCGAGCCCGCCCGCCTGGTCGCCCGCCTGGTCCCCTTCCTCGACTCCCGCAGCCCCGCCCGCGCCCTCCGCTGCTTCCCTCCCCCACCTTCCACCGGTCTGGGTTTTTTTTTTATTATTATTATTATTATTTTCATTGTAATCTTCCTAAATTGCACATTTCATAAGACCTTCAGGAAAAAAAAAAAGTCAGGAAATGAGGTGGAGAGGAAGAGGGAGGCGGAGAGTGGGGGGCCGGCCGGGGAGGGGGACTGGGGGACCCGAACTCCAGGAGAGCGAGGCTTTCATTATCGCGACCTGTTCGGCGCACATCCCAGCCTCTCCCCGCGCCACCCTCTCGCTGGATGCGAGCCATCCTCGGGGCTAATGAGCAGAGCACGGAGATAACTAATCCTAATGCAATTACCGCTCGGCACTACACTGCTAGGTGCGCGGCGCTCCCCGCGCGCCCCGCAGCCCGAGCCAGGCTCGTGCAGATGCGCCTCGGCCTCAGCCTCCCGTCGGAGACGTTTTGACAGCTGTGTGCGGCGCGGGCCCCCTCCCCCGGCAGCATCCCGGGAGAGTGATCTTTCCACGGCGAGCCCCCGTGCAGCCCGTCGGAGGTGAAATGAAATCTCGGCAGCTCGGGGGAAGCCTGGCCGCGCCGTGCGCGTCCCGACGCTATTTCCAGGCCGGCGATGGCAGCCGCGGAGATGCGGGGGGGCCCCCTTCTCTCCGGCCGGCCCCCACCCCCGCCGCTTCCTGAGATCCTCACCCAGGGTGGGAACTGCCCGGGAAAACTCGAGTGCGCAGGCTCGGCCCTCTCCTGGCGGAGCGCGGAGCTCCCGTGATAGGGGGATGGTTTGCAGCACACATGTTCCTTTGTTTGGCGGGACCACGTGCTCTGTTTGCACAGCAGCATGTGGTACCACTGGAGGAAATCGAACCAACACTCAAAGTTCAAGGAACAGCCAAGCTCTGCTGGGAAGCGGCTGGGTCAGGGCCGGGATGAAGTGATGAGGCAGGAGGCCGGCTGGACTCCCTCCCCCGAGGAGAGGCAGGGGGTGGGAAGGGGAGGGCACGGTGGGGAAGACGCTATTTTGGATAAAGGGGACTGCAGGTTGCTGGCACCGAGCGCTCGCTGGGCGGGTTTTCTGCAGTAACCAGTCCTGCCTGGGTTGGGAAGTGGACTTTGATTATGATTATAATCTCTTGGATTTGAAAGAGCTTTATAGTTGATAAAGCCTTCTCACAACCTTTATGTCATTTGATCGTTGCAAAAACATGTGATGCTGAAGTGTCTCTCCTTCTTGGGGAGAGCGAGGGGAGGGGCTGGAGCCCCTGAACCTTTAGCCTGAATGGTCTTGACCTTCCAGGAGGCCCAGCGGGGCAGCTCTGACTATGCTGATGGAAAATGCTTGAAACAGTAATCGTTTGTCTTCTGCACATTCCTCTCTCTCTCTCTCTCTCTCTCTCCCTCTCTCTCTCTCATTTCTTTTATAATTACAGAACATCAGAACAGAATAAAATAAAAATCTAAACAATTCAAAAACCTATAATACATAAATGTACCATGTAAAAAGAGAAAATTTTCCAACATCCAGTTTCCCAAATAGCCATGGTTAATAATTTCAGTCATTTCCTTATTTTTCCATGCATACCTGAACATATTTATGCAATTTATCAATATATGCCTCTTTATTTTTAAAAGTAGGATCTTATTACATATACCATTCACTTTAACCATATATCAAAGATGTCTTTCCAAAACAGAATATATAAATCTACACCATCGTTCTTTTTATGAGCTGTATGGTATTTCTTGGTATGGATGTACCATTATGTTATTGAATAATCAGATGGTTTCCAGTTTTTGTTTATCAAAACAATGCCGAACTAAACAGAATCCAGTGTATATTGCACATTGTGAAAGTATTATTTCAGGGTAAATTCCTAAAATTGCTAATTCAAAACAGTGTTAATTCAAAGGGAAGGCACATTTTAAACTTCAATAGATATGGCCAAATCATTCAACAAGATTGCACAAGTTACAAAGCATGTAAGAAAGTTAACTGTTAGTGTATGACCCTAGTATATGAAAATCGGCTGTTTCCACACACACCTGACCTGGGTATTTGTTAATTCAACGGGATAAAAAACTAGTGCTTTTAAGAGCGCATATGAGCATATTTCTTGTAATGTTTTTAGTGGCCATTTGTCATTTTCATTCTAAAAGTTGTGCTTTTGCCCATTTTTCTATTGCTCTGTTCATCTTTTATTAATTTGAAGAACTTCTCTTCAATATTTGCAACTATTTTTTTCCAATTCATCTTCTTTCAATTCTGTAATAGAAATGTTAAATGCATAATATAGTCAAATTTGTCGATCTTTATTTTTATGGTTTTTGGGTTTCATGTCATGCTTACAAAAACTTTGTCAAACTTCCAGAAAAATAAAATATTCTGCTATATTTTTAACAGCTTCATGATTTTTTTTTTCTCATTTTATTTAGCAGATTTTTATTGCTCAAGTAACAGAGGCCAGACAGTATCTTAAAAGTTGAGTATATACAGAGTCTCTAAATTCATGGAGCTTATATTCTAGAGCGAGAGATTCATTTTTATCTGAATCTCTCATTCATTTTTGTCTAAAAATGAATGAATGAATAATTACAGAATTCAAAGCACTATGGATAATTAAATGAAAATAACAGGTAATACCCACTTAGGGAGAGTGGTCGCAGAGGGCAAGATTTAGACTAAGCTCTGAAGAATGCAAAGTAGCTAGTCATAGAGGTGAAGATCATTCCAGGCAGAAGGAACAGCATATGCAAAGGCCCTGAGGAGGAAAATAATTTGGAGTATTTGAGGAGCTTAAAGGCCAGCATGACTAGAACACAGTGAGCAAGGTAGCCATCTGAAGATGAAACGCCTCATAGGCCAAGATGAGGAAGAAATTAGTGGGTGCCTTACAGACCCAGGTAAGGAATCAATTTTACTCTAAATGCAGTGGGAGGTCACTGGGTAGTTTAAAACAAGATATTAAGGATATGATTCATGTTTTTATGTTTTGAGTTATTTGAAAGAATGCTCTAACTTCTCTGAAAATGATGTGAAGGGGGTAAGAAATGAAGCAGTTACCAGGAAGGATCCAGGGAAAGAGGACAGTGGCTTGCCAGGTGGTGGTCGTGGGAGGACATTAACGTGACTTCCAATAAATTGGATGTGGGTGATGAGGGGGAAGGAGGAATCGAGCATGACTGCTGGGTTCTAGTTTGAGTCGCCACGTGGATGGTGGTACCATTTTCTGAGAAGCGTAGATTCGAGAAGGGGCTGGGGGTGGGGGAGGGTCTAGGGATCACTTCTAACATGTTGAGTTTAAAATCATCATGAGACGTCCAAGCGCGTCTATCAAGCAGGTGCTTGGCTCCATAAAACACGTGCTCAGAAGAGAAGGCTAGGAAGGAGGTAAAATTTTGAAAATTGCTGGCCATTAGATATTTAAGTCTAGGAAAAGAGTATACAGCAGTGTAGGAGTGTTCCTATCTCTCCGCATCTACGCCAACATTTATTGTTTGGGGACTCTGTGGAAAGCAATATGGAGATACCTTAAAGCCATACAAGTAGATCTACCATTTGATCCAGCAATTCCACTACTGGGCATCTACCCAAAAGATCAAATGACACTCTACTGCAAAGACACCTGCCCTCGAATGCTTATAGCAGCACAATTCACAATTGCAAAGTTGTGGAAACAACCCCGGTGCACATCAATACATGAGTGGATTAATAAAATGTGGTATATGTATACCATGGAGTACTATTCAGTTTTAAGAAACAATGGTGATATAGCACCTCTTGTATTTTCTTGGATAGAGCTGGAACCCATTCTACTAAGTGAAGTATCCCAAGAATGGAAAAACAAGCACCACATGTACTCACCAACAAATTGGTATTAATGGATCAACACCTAAGTGGATATATAAGAATAACATCTATCGGGTGTCGGGCAAGTGGGGGGCGGGGAGGATGGGATGGGTATATACAAACATAATGAGTGAAATGTGCAACGTTTGGGGGATGGTCACGCTTGAAGCTCTGACTCGAGGGGGTAGAGGGGGTATGGACAATATAAGTAACCTTAATATTTGTACCCCCATAATATGCTGAAATAAAAAAAATTAAAAGTATATAAAAAAAAAAAGAGTATACAGGAAATAAAGCTAGGAAAAGAGTATGCAGGAAAAAGTACAGGCCTGGCCAAGCCCTGAGGAACTTCCATATGTAGAGTTAAATGGAGGAGGAGAAGGCAGCCAAGGAGACTGAGGAGAAGCAGTCAGAAGGTAAGAGGGAAAATTAGGAGAGATTATCATCTCAGAGACTGAGACCAGGAATAGTAAATGGCATCAAATCCTGCCTAGAGGACCCATAATATGAGGACTAAAAAAATGCATTGGAGTTGACAACATAGAGCTCACTGATGATATTGACAAGAGCAGTTTTAGTAGAATGGAGAGGTAGACTTTGTAATTTGAGAACCACAGCAACCTCCCTAAGAGAAAACTTGGAAATTAATAGGGGACTTCTGTAGATACCATGCCTTCATCTCCTCTTTCTTAAATGTTGTTATGCATTAGACTCTTCTAGTCAAAGATACAGTTGCCCAGGCCCCAACCCTAGACAGTCTGACTCAGGAATTCTGAGTCAATGTTTTAAATAAATTCTTCAGAAGATTCAAATGTATAGCAAAGTTTAAGAAGCATGCATGGCCTTAACCCAGGGATAGATTTCTCAGAATGAAACTTCAGATTCCATGCCTGATTGAAAGAGAAAAGATTTGAGGACAGAAGGTGTTTCAGTGCCTTTCAGATCATATCACATAAGCAACTGCCTACTCTGATAAAAATAGTGATTGTACAGAGTATTTTGACCTGAACATAAATTGGAATCACTGACTACCAGCTGAACTCCCTAGTGCCCTGCCTGCCTGCATGCCTGTTTGGATACAGCCACAGGTAAACTCAAATAACATTGCAGAAATGAAAAAAAAAATTATTTTCAATAAAGGTCTCCCAAGAGTTCAAAACTTTCTCTTCCATTTTTCTTCTGACTAGATGGTCTGAGACCATATCCTTAAAGGCAAAACAATCCCTAGTTTGGAAATTCAGAGTCAACTCTCTTTTATTTAGCAACTACATTCTAGGCAAGCATGTTTATATACATTATCTCAACGAATCTTCACGTGAACCTTTAGAGGCAATTGTATTTATTTCTGTTTTACGGATGAAAAACTGTGACTGAAATAAATGGTGCCCAAATCAGTTAGTAATGGTGTCTCAAAATAGCATTCCTTGACCATAAATAGATTTGGTCTGTGTTACCCTGACCATTGAAAGAAAAGTGGGTGATCCATGGCTCAAATGATTCTGATATTTGCCTTACCTTACCCTCCTGGCCCTGCTGGGTAGATCGGGGTGTCAGTAGCCTGGACCCCATTTCCAGCTGGATTTTTATTCTTTCCCAACTTGGCTCTGGAACGTGGTGTGGCGGAATGTTCGTGCATGAGCCCGGGGCCCAAATAGCCTATGGTTCAAATCCTGGCTCTGCCCCTTAATAACTCTGCTGCCAGGCGAGGCGCGGTGGCTCACGCCTATAATCCTAGTACTCTGGGAGGCCGAGGCAGGGGGATCGCTCAAGGTCAGGAGTTCGAAATCAGCCTTAGCAAGAGCGAGACCCTGACTTTACTAAAAATAGAAAGAAATTAATTGGCCAACTAAAAATACATATAGAAAAAATTAGCCGGGCATAGTGGCCCATGCCTGTAGTCCCAGCTACTCGGGAGGCTGAGGCAGGAGGATCGCTTAAGCCCAGGAGTTTGAAGTTGCTGTGAACTAGGCTGACACCATGGCACTCTAACCCAGACAATAGGGTGAGACTATGTCTCAAAAATAAATAAATAATAACTGCTGCCGTGGACAAGTCATTTAACTTTTCTAAGCTTCATTGTTGTCATGGAAATCAAGGAGCTCTCACAAGGGTGTTATGAGTATGAATATTAAATATATATGTTATATACACAGGGTGCACACTGTGTAACTACCATCACTTACACTAACCCTATTACATGCCTCAGTCAAATCGCAATTCCACCTAAATCTCCCCTAGGCTATATTACTGAAATACTCTTTTGGAAATTAGTGCTAGCTCTCATTCCTCTCTAATCCCTGAAAGGTGATATTCCAACCATGCTCTGTCCCTTCCTCAAGTTCCATGTAGCTGCCACCCCATTCACAAAATCTTATTTTGCATCCTGAAAGAGATGCTGTGTTCAGACTCCTACTCCATTTCTTTCTAAATCCAGTATTGACAGAGACACAATTACCCAGAAAAATCGAGGAAAGCAAAGAACTCTGTCAAAATGAACCGA